CCACCTGTTGACTGCATAAGGTTTTGAGAGGCCATCTGGACATAAGCTGCAATATTCTGCCCTGGCCCCTGAAAGACCCATGTATACCCCTTTACACAAAGAGTTGCCAAAGTTATAACAGTTTGAGCATTGCCAAAAAGAGTCTAAAGTCTCCTCTAAGGTTTAACACAGACTTTTAACTGTGAACCCCTTTACAACTGAAAAGAAAGTAAAATGCTTCCATCATTCATGGCACAAGATAAATATTACCATTCCAAAAGGTACAACTAGGGAGATAGAAAGGAACAGTCTAAAATCTAGCAGGGCAAAACAAACATTAAGTGTTGTAATTCCATGACCAGCATCTGAGATCATCTGTGGCAAGATGTGAACTCCGAAAGGCTTGGTGACTCCACCCATATGGCACTGCTATCACAGATTGTAGCTATCACAGCTTTTCTCTTGGGCTGGCTTTGCTAATTTGTAGCTTACCTCAGATGATCCATGTTCCTAACTTCTTAAACCTTCTGGAGCTCCCACTGCATCTTCAGTTTACACTCAAAGCTTTACACACAACTTCTCTCAGGGGCACACTGCCTGGCCCCCCAGATCTCCTTCTGAAATCTGGGTGGAAGCCTTCCTGACCTCACAGCTCTTGCATTCTGCATGCACCTAAAACCAGCACCAAGTGGATGCCGCCAAGGTCTGCTGCCAGCTAGAGCAGTAGCCAGGCTTTCTTCTCTCTTGGCAGTAGAGGTCAAGTGTCTATGAACCAAATTCCCAGGTACCACTGTACCTAGGCTGCTGCCATTCTGGAATATGGTGCTTGGGGGCACTTTTCTCAAAGCAAATTTCTTCACCTTTGCAAGCTTTAGGTGCAAAGGCTGGAGTCCTGCAATACTTGTGATGTCCTCAGGCCATCTTTTTTATTGTCCTATTTATTCTCAGTAACCAAATTCCTTGCTCTGTCTTTACAGTCCACTTTACTGGAGCTTCTTTCTGCCCAAAGTCACAACATTTTGAGTAGTTCTACTGGGCTCTTTGCTCTTGATTCTCAACAGAGATCTGGCTGTAGTCCCCAACAGTAGTTGTGCCACTGCCTCAACATTAGATTGCCTTGAAATTTGTTCTGCAAAGTTAATTAGTCCACCACTCTTAATCTCAGTCTTGGGCAAAGTCTCCCGACACAAGCAAAGTGCAGACAAATCTGCTGAGATGTAACACACATGTTCCATAGTGCAACAGCTAATGCAGTTTCTTCCCAGCAGAAAACAGCCTGGTCTTTACTGGCAGAGTTTCTATCAGTCTTCCTGTCTTCAGAGCTCTGATTTCCCATCAAGTACAGCTTAAGACTTTCCAGGCCTGCTGCTTCAGCAGCATCTCCAAACCTTTCTAAATTCTTTCCACAATCCAGTTCCAAAGACTTCTGAACCACATGGTCAGGTCCAGTCACAGCAGTGACCCTACTTCTTGGGTACCAAAGTTCTGTCTTTTTTTTTTTTTTTTCTTTTTCCTTTTTATTGGTACCAGGGATCAAACTCACGACTGCCTGCTTGCAAGGCAGGCGCTTATGCTGCTGAGCTAAATCCCCAGCCCCCCAAAGTTCTGTCTTAGTCACTTTTTTAATTGCTGAGACAAAATACCTGGTACCCAAAGTTAAAGGAGGGAAAGTTTATTGTAGTTCACAGTTTGTAGAGGTTTCAGTCTATAATCAGCTTTACAGCTTCTACTTTTTTATCTTTTAGTTTTAGAAACTCCCATTTTAAATAAAGAACCCTTTTAATTTATTTTCTGAATCCCATAAGACTAGCCCAAAAACTTTGGGTCAGTTCTACCAATTATCTAAGCTCTTCTGTGGAAAGCGTTTGCTTGTCCATACCTTGATGGGCACTGTGGGACTGGGGATTGTGACTGTCCCATACTGGCTGGGGGGTACTCAGAGGAAGTGTGTACCCACCAGGGCCAGGGAAGCGCTGTTAAGGATTGAGATGGGGAGCTTGCGACAGAATACTTTGTCATTTTGTTGAGAGAGTGAAATTCTGTTTTTAGCAGTCATATAAGTCTAATGAAATAAACCCAAGGCCACAGGCTTTAGGAGTGAAGATCTCTCATATTGGTTATTGCTGTCCGCAATCTAGGTTTATTTGATTATGTGAAAGGAGGCAAAATTTTTGTAAACCTACTTGCATGAACCATGCAGGAAGATAGATAAATGTTCCATAGGCGCAGCCTGTCCTTCCTTAGGCATGTAGGTAGGTAATGTGATGCTCATGGCTCTTCCTCTTAGTTCCCCAGTGGTGCTGCTGAACCTTGGGCACATTGGAGTCTTTTGGGGTGTTGTTTCTAGCCACGGGGAAGAGTGGCACATTGATGTGCTGCTCTGGTCGGTGCACACCTCAAGAACTCTAGTAGTACCTGGAAGAGGGATAGGAAACCATCTCCTTCTGTGGTCATTAGCACGGTAAATTATACCCATACTTAAAATGCTACGGAAGATGGATGAAGCCATGATGCATTGTTCACACAGGCCCATCACAAAAGGACACCTTTTTACTGTGTGGCATCTGCTGTGCCCCTTCAGGGGTATTCAGGAAGGTCAGATTCAGAATGAATCATACCTTGCAGGCTCGAGGGCAGAGGGTCCACAGACCGCAGCTTCTGCTGAGATCCTGGTGTTGCTGAAAGTCTGGGATCATGCTCATAGCTATCATCGGGTGAGGTCCACTGAGTTCATTGTCCGTTGTCAACCTTCCTTTCATGACCACCCTCTAAGGAGTCCCATTAGACACCATGTGACAAGTGTGAGTTCAGATCATTCAAAGCTAGGACAGATTTTCATTGTGGAGATTGGGGCAGTAGGCAAGTGTGCTTGGTTTGCATCCTACAATGCTCAGCAAGGTCACTGTTTTCTAGTTTTTCCCAATGGCTGTCTTAAACCTGGCAAAACCTAAGTTGTCGTAACTAGAGGCTGTAATACAGTGGTTTAGAGAAGAGAGCATTTTTATTTTCATAGCATTTTTGCTTCTTTCTTTTGTTTTTGTTTTTTGGTACTGGGAACTGAACTCAGGACCTCACCCTTGCCAGGCAGGTGCTGTGCCACTGAGCTATATCCCTGGCCTCTAGCATTTTCTTTAAGAGTAGGTATAATTTACATGAGGCAGGATGTGCTCATTTTAGGGCACAGCTCTGGGAGTGTGAACTAATGCCTAACGCTGTATAACTACTGCCATAATCAGGATTCAGAGCAGCAGTTCCCTGCCCCTGGAAATTACTGATCACTTTTGTGTTTTGCAGATCTGTTCCAGACTGTTCTAAATGGAACATCACTCTTTGAGTCTAGCTTATTTCCCCAAACAGAGCACACTGAGGTTTGTCATATGACCCATCTGTGGTTTGCCTTTTGGCAGCCAAGGAGTTTTCCATTGTGTTGAGCTTTCCCTAGCAGAATGATGTTTGGTTTCATGGCACCTTTGAAGTGAGTGGCTCATAAATATGGGAGGTCTGCAGGGTGCCTGGACTTCTTAGGGTCACTTAGGGACCCAAGATCCTTCAGTCCTATTGTCCTGCAGTCTTCTGGTTGTCATTATGCATATAATGAAAAGTTAAGAGTTAGACATGTTTGTTCAGCTTGGAGGGAGATAAAAGGGGAACTTCCCAGGGCAGCAAGGCAGGAATTCCAAATAACACTGTTGTTCCTGTTTTATCTATAGGACTCTGTCACATACTTGTAGCTAGCTATGGGGAGACTGAGGAACTTCTAACTGGAGGCATGTGTCTGAGACAGAAAGATGCAGTTTGTGGATGATTAGTATAATGTGTCAGTAAAAGTCCCTCTTAGCAAAGAGCTAAACGTCACTGATTAGAGTACTGCTGGATTCCTTCCTGGTAGTAACATTTAGGCCCTGATCCTTTTCTCTGCTGAGAACCCTGTCTTCTTAGCTCCTGAACTCACCGTTGGGGAGATTCTCTTGTCTGTTTCCCTCCTCTGCCATCTCTGAAGTGGCTGTTGGAGGTATAACTGCCATGGATTTGCACAGTTTTAGTGGTCTGTGCTTTTCCATGAGCTTTCAGGAGCCTGGAAATTACATTTAGAATTGAATAGTCACAAGCGTTTGTTAGTTTTTAAACTTTGGAATGTACCATTGTTGCCCCCTGATTGACATAATTTGAAAAAAGAATAAACTTCTTTGGAGTTAGAATTCCCACCAAAGCTTAGTAATTTGGTTTCATTGTTTCTAGTTAGTTACTCCAATTTGGATCACGATGTGCCTTACTTCAGTCCTTCTTTACCTGATTTTGATAACTTCCAGAGTGGTAGGTTTGGATGGGAAGGAAGTGCTTTGGTCTGATTTCTTGACTAGGCTGTTTAGGAGGCTTATTTCTGGCTGTTTGGGGATATAGAGATGGTTAGCTTCTACATCTGCTTTTCCAAGGCTGTGTGGGGTGCTGGCTGCAGTATGTTGACTATGTGACTTTGAGAAATGGAGGCAGCTCGGTATGTAGAATGGGTACCATATTATTGGTCCCATTGAGCTGAATGTGTCTCTTCTGTTAAAACCCATGCCATCATCTCTGTGCTGCTGAGAAAGGCAAAAGCTTCTAATTAAACTATGACTTGCATTGGTTGTGAGATGTATTCCAGCTTCAGTAATATTAACATGGGAAGAAAATGTGAATGGAACTTGAATTGGTGAGATATAAGTTAATGTAAAGCCAGAAGACTCTTCCTCCTGGTCCAGCTACTTCCATTTTATGTAATCTGGATGAGTCACTGTTAAATTTCAGTTCCTTTCTCTCTACCATGGGGAATGCATGACCTGTTTTTTTCTGGGGATGAATGTAGTTTGGAAGACCCTGGTGGAGCTCCCCTGTGCCTCCCTGTCCTGATCCACCCAGACTCAGCTCAGAGTGCAGTGGTCTGTTTGTAATGGGCAGAAAGTACTGAGTGGATAAATGAATTCATGAAGCGTAGAAATAATGAACACATGTTCACTTTTTTCTCTTTTTATTTTTATTTGTAGAAAGAAGGAACTCTCAGCCACCAAGAAAGACCGCGTCAATCATTGTCTGACGATATGTGAAAACATAGTGGCACAGTCTCTCAGGTAATCAAACTTGGAATTGCAACAGGAAATAAAAACTGTTTTCAGTCATGTTGGGTTAGAATGTTCTTTGTGCCTCTAGTTGTCTTTAAAAATTTCATTTAAAGTAGAGATCTTTTGTCAGTATTTCTGGTGCTGTACATACAACCTTAAGTAATGTTTCTGTTTTGTAATCTTATTAATTGTAGTCATTATGATCATTGAACAACATGTTTGTACTTAATTAGCACTCTTGATAACCACTTACTTAAAAATGGTCTTTAGTTTGCTGTTTTTACATTTTGTAAAAATGTTGCAGAAATGCGAACAGCCTGAGACTATTCATGTGATTGTCTCTGATTGGCATGTTCCAGGCAGGGGGCCACTGGTTGGCATCCTTGGGGTGGTAGTGCATTCTCCAAGCAGTAGCTGCTGTAGGCACTCTTGTGTTGGGGATTGGTAGTGTTGTACGTGGGTGAGAGAGGAAGACCTCCCTTCCTGAGCTTTTTTGCTAGGTGAACCAGCACTGCCTTCTTGCATGATGTCTTTGCTAATCTCATTCTCATTGCTTTTGTATCTTTTGATCATTGTTCCTAGTAGCTATCGACAGTATTTTTGCCATTTCCAATGGCAAAACAAGAGATAGTCTGTACCTGTGGCATTATTATTTTTTAATGCCATTACCTAGATAGGCTTATGTGGAAAGCCTATCTTTCTTCCCCTTAAATAAGCAATTCATGTTATTCTCCTGCTCAAATCCTATCAAGAACACTTCATAATCTGAGCGTGATGGCATACACCTGTGATCCTAGCATTTGGCTCTAGGCAGGAGCTGAGGCAAGAGAATTGCTGAGTTCAAAGCCAGCCTGGGCTACACAGTGAGTTCGAGATGAGCCTGAATGACAAAATGATACCATATCTCAAAAAAAAGAGAAAAGAAGAAGAATCTTGGTTTCAATCTGGTAGACCTTGTGATTCACTTGTGTTTAAATATATTTGACTTCATTCTTCATGTTTCTCATTTTGTTTTTCTTTATTTTGTTTTTCTTTTCTTTTCTTTCTTGATTTGAGATAGGATCTTACTATGTAGTTGAGACTGGCCCTGAACTAACTATGTAGCCTAGGCTGACCTCAAACTCAAAACAGTCCTCCTGGTCAGCCTCTTGAGTGCTGGTACTACATGTGTATACCACCACACCTGGCTCTTCTAATTATAAAATACATACAACATAAAATGTACCTTTATCTATTTTTAGGTGCACAGTTCCTTATATTCATAATGTTACCCAGCCATCACTTTATCTGTCTCCCCTTCTGTTTTCATCTTGCAAAAGTGAAACTGTGCCCATTAGACAGCAGCTCCTTGTGCCCCAGCTCCTCAGCTCCTGGCAACACGGTTGATTCTGGGTCTCTGTGTTTGACTAATTTACAGACTTCATCTAAATGGAATCATGCAGTATTGTCTTTTTCATGATTTATTTTTAATACCGTGTTGCACTTCAATTTGAAAATATTAAATACATTTCATATAGAATATTTGAATTTAGCTTGTTTTATCAGTTGTGAAATATGATTGATGATTCTTTTTCTAATTTGTAGAATGGCAGGAAGAAAATGAAAATGTGTACTGAAAAAGAATCTGAATATTCTAAGTTAACATGCTACTGTAGAAAACAATACTTTGATAAAAGTAAGGGGAAGTTTGAACTCGATGCCCCCCTCCCGTATGGCCAACTGATTTTAGATGAGTTACCTTCTTTGAACCTTTGGGGTCTTGTTTATGAAATGTTAGCCCCATTTACAAAACTCTTGTGGATCCGATGGTAAATGTGAAGAAGTACCTATATGAGCTGCCTGAAATGAAAATAGATCCCATTGTGATGCACGCCATTCGGAGCTATCTGTTACTCTTTATTTTGTGTGAAGTGATCTTAACACTGGTGAAGGTTTGGTGACTTGCTGCTGCAGCCCCACTTAGTTCCTGGGATCTCCACCACCCAGGTTCCAAAGAACATCATTTGTCCTTGGAAGCTGCTGACCTAGAGCACACAATCTCTTTGAATCTGCATATTTCAGTCTTTATGCTAATTTTGTTTTTTGAGACTACTTTCTGGAATTTTAATGGAATGTGAGCTCAGATTGACATATTAGTAAAGTGTATTGAAATGTCTTCAGGTTGGTTTGTGATCTGTTTGTTATCTTTAATTATAACAATAGACATTAACAGTTTTCACAGCTGGGTAACTAATGGTCCATTTTCTAGCATTTGCGAAGCTTTGGCCTCAATATCAGTGTTTCAGGAATAAAATATTTTCACATTAGACTATCTTGTTTGTTTTAATAGAGTAATGCAGAGGATTTATTATACTTCTTGTACAGAGGACCATGTTAACAGGAAGCTTTGGAACCCAAAGCAGTCCTGGGTCTTGTTGGATCAAGAATCAATTTATTTATGGACTACATTTTAGGACATAAAGCCAGCCTTAATAAATAAAAAAAAAATTGAAATAACTTCATGCATCCTATCAGGTGATAGTGAATTGAATTGAATTGGAATCAGCAGCAAAAGAAACCATAGAAACCACACAAACATGCAGAGTGGTACTTTTGAATGATCAGTGAGTGGGTCATTGAAAAAGCAGGGGAGAAATTTTAAAATTTCTAGAATCAAATGAAAATGGAAGTACCATACATCAGATACTATACTATTTTTGTATCAGATTCTTCTTTCACTGTGCGACACAGTGAAAGAAGTTTAAAAGGGAAGTTTATAGCGATGAGTGCCTACACGAGAAAAACAGTGATCCTAAATAAATAACCTAATGATGTGTCTTAAGGTATAGAAAAATAATAAACCAAATCAAGCAGAAGGAAAAAAATAATTAAGACAGTGGGATTTTATGAAGTAGAAAGTAAAAGAGCAGTGTTGTAAAGGGTTAATAAGCCAGGCATGATAGTATACACTTGTAATCCCAATACTCAGATTGAGACAGGAGGATTCCTACAAAGTTCTAGGCCATTCCAGACTATGTAGTGAGTCCAGGCCAGCCTTAACTACATAGTGAAACCCTGTCCCAAAACACAAAAACAAAGGGTTAATGAATCAAAAAATGGGTTTTAGGAAAGATAAAGCAAGATTAATAAACCCTTGGCCAATTTTACCAAAAGAAAGTGAGAAGGCCCAAATTAATTATAGACAAAAAGTAGCAAAATTATGGCAGACACCATGGAAATCTAATAATAGGGTTATTAGAAACTATTTTGAAGGCCAGCTCATGCCTATATATAATTCCAGTGCTTGGGAGGTTGAGACAGGAAGATTGCCATGAGTTTGAGGCTAGCCTAACTACATAGTAGTCCTGAACTACAGAGTGGGACTGTCTTCAAAAAAAGAAACTAAATTTTGAAAACTTACTTTTGAGTAAGTTGAAGAAACTGGAAGAAATGAGAGTAATTTTCTAGATCCAGAGACCTAAAAATATTGAACCAAAAAGATATTTTAAAAAAATCTAAAGAGAGATCAGTAACAAGTAGTGAGATTGAAATAATAGAAACTTTCCCAAGTAAGAAAAACCTGTGACCTGATGAATATATTGGTGAATTTTATTAGACTTGTAGAGAAGAACTATCACCAATGGTCCTCCTTTTCCACAGTATACAAAGGAGAGAAATATTTGAAATCCAATGGATAGAGCAAACATTACCTTGGTACTAAAATGGGATAGGGACTCACCCAAAAAACAAAAACAAAAAAAAACTACTGACCAACATCCTTGATGGACACGGATACAGAAATCCCCAATAAGATTCTTACAGAATTCAGTGGTACAGTAAGATCATCAGACACTGCGTTTAAGGTGGTTTCATCTTAGGGATGTAAGGATGATTCAACATTTGTAAATCAGTACATACAGTATGCTACATAGACAAAACTAAGGATAAAAACCTTAAATCATCTCAGAAGATATAGAAAAAGACAATGTCAACATCCATTAATCATAAAAGCCCTGGAGAAAATAGGCATTGAAGGATGTTTTCTTCTTCTTCTTTTTTTTTTTTGGTACTGGGGATCAAACCCATGACCTCACACTTGCCAGGCAGGCTGCTGAGCTAAATCCCCAGCCCGAAGGATCTTTTCTTAATTAATAAAAGCCATGTGTGAGATTACCCACAGGTAATCTCGTCCTGGATGGGGAAAAACTGGAAGTATTTTTTCTAAAATCAGGAACGAGACAAGTTTGTTCATTCCACTCTTATTCAGTATAATAACATAATAAAGGATCGTACATACTGATGGTCAGCAACATGGCTGCCGCCCGGCCAACCTAAGCAAGTAGCTTTTGAGATAAAGAACAAAGGCATTCAAATTGTGCGTGCTTAGATTATATAACTTGTTTGCTTCTTGTCCTTACGGGACCTCATGTTTTTACCTTGGAGTGGGGGTGATGCTTCAAGGCCTGCACTTTTCCCCATAACATTGTTGACCAGGAGTGTCTGGGATGGAGTCGGTATGGCCTTGCCACAAAAAAAATGTGGTGACCAACAGAATAGGATGGAAGACACAGGCTAACCTGTGTACTACACCCAACTAATTTTTGACAACGAGACCAAAAACATTCTGGAGGAAAGCTGGCCTCTTACAAGTACAGCTGAAAACCTGAATCTCCACATGTGGAAGATTACATCTAGATTCCTCTCTCTCTCTCTGTACTAAAATAAAATAAAAGCAGATCAGAGGTCTAGAAGTATGACTAGAAACTTTGAAATTGCTGGCAGAAAACATAGATGACAAACTTGAAGGCATTGGCACAGTAGGCTGCCAATACCAAGAAATGACATTCAGAATCAGAAAATGGATTGTATCAAGTTAAAAAGCCTATCAGGAGACTGCACAGGAGACAAAAAGAAGAGACAACTCACAGAATAGGAGAAAATCTTTGCTACTCTTCTGATAAGAGGATTAACATCTAAAACAAAGAACTAAAAAAAATCCTTAACATAAAAATAAAACCCAAACAAATCTC